AATGTGCTGATTCCGTACGACAACTCTTTTGTTTGCATTCCTCTTGTCCACTTAAACTAACTGGTACATACAGCAATACCAAATATAATATATATATATGACAATGAGGAAGTTAACGCAAAGCTCGGGGCAGATGGCGCCACCACCGCGCGGGCCGGCCGGGAGGCGGCCCTGGCTAGGCCTTTGGGCCTCCTGGCCGTCATTGTGGTGTTTCGTTTCGGATTAGGCGCATTAAACCGTGACAACAGACGTGTAAGTATACTTTATCGCTCAAAAGACTCAACTTTTCACGTATGGATGTAATTAACTCCCGCGCTGGCACGCACCCGACGATGTTTCTGAAGGTCGCTGCGTGGGCCACCTGTAGTTTGAGGTTACTATGTTTGTCACATTTAACTAATTTTTGCAGGAATTGCTTATTGACACTAGTAGAAATGAAAACCACGTACACACATCTTACTATTCCTAAATTGAAAGCACTCCTTCGGTCCAGAGGGGCATCATTGAAAGGGAGAAAAGCGGACCTTGTTAACAGGTGAGACCAGCTGACTTGCACTGTTAAAAAAAGTGCTGTAAATTAACAGCACTTATGCTGTTAAGTTTGATAGCAGCACGACTTGTTTTATTACAAGCATGTTGTAGCCCTCGGTGCCGTTTTCTGACAGTTCGATTGTAATAAAACAATACTTCTTTGAAGTCTTCAACGATGTCTTCCCAACATTTGTGTTGATTTCATCGTGCTGTTATTAAACAAGACCCCTGTAACCTGACAACAATATATGTTTTAAGATTGCAAAAAGCTGTTTCTAAACATGAAACCTGTTCAACGACATCACAACTATTTTGAATGCCGATTACATTGTTGTTACTTGACAAGGAAATTGTTATGAAACGAGAGTGCTGTTTCTGGATGGTTTTTTCCGTTCAGACACAAAACAATACTGTTGTTATTAAACAGCATTACTGTAGGTGATTGTGTTGTAATATTACAGTGGATTTTTAACGGTGTGTCTGCCTCTCTTTGATCCATGAAATTAAATGGAACTCATTGTTTTCTCCTTGTATTTCCATTATTCAGATTGATTTGTCATGATGAGAATTTCAATTTTAATGCCAAAGTTCCAAATGACATGTTGTTCGATTCCAATAACAATATGTCGCGCTTGCTCCTCCCAGATAATACTCATTACAAAGATCTTAATGCCAGTAGCCAAGTGCCAAAGTTGCTTAAAGAGAACATGCACCATTATCTTGAGAGGTAAGTGTTTTGTGGTGTTCTATTTAAAGTTGCTGTTTTTTTTGTTCTGTTTAATTTACTATTGTGTACTTTGGTTTCTTCAGGTTTTCTGCTAAACTGGACTCAGGACAGTCACTGTATGTTAACTCTTTTCTTATGAGTTTGCAGTGGGCTACTGACAGCAATGTTTGTGCTTTTCAAGGATGTTGTGCTGCAATGATGTACAAGCATGTGAGATACATTGCTGATGTTTTCATCGCCGACGATGGCAGTATTGTTGGTTGTCAGGGTGAATGTGCTGCTGGAGAAGGACCCAATGCCCACTGCAAACATGTAATAGCTGTCATGTTCATCTGCAAACTGAAGGTGTTTTAAATTAAGGAAAACTTGCACTCAGAAGCTACAGGCGTTTCATCGCCCATCTAAGGAGTATTGTGGTACTCCTCTCAAAACTGAAAGTCTGCCCCGAGGAAGTTACAATCATCCCACTAAAGTTAATTTTAACCCAATTGATCCAGAGAGCATTGACAGAGTGGAATACAACAGAAGAATAAGAAATTTGACCATCGGTTTTTGTGCTTCTAACAAGAGTACTATGCCTTTAGTGCATCTATACAAACCTGCCAATTTGTATGCAACCAACATTGACCATGATTATGCGGGAAATAAAGAGTACTTCATATTGAGAAATGTATCAGAGCAAGATGTGGCAGAAATAGAATCGGCGACAAGGCAGCTAGCAAGATCTAAGTTTTGGAATGAGGTACGCTCCACCCACCTAACTTCTTCAAATTTTCATTCAATATGTAAAGTTGTGTCGGAAGAAGCTAAGATAAATCTTGCAATGAGGCTAATGAACCCGAATCCATTCACCAATAAGGCTGTGCAGCATGGTAATGATTGTGAACGAAGGCCATTCAGAAGTTTGAATCATTCATTGCAGGTGGGGGACGACAAAAGAGTGTGGTTTCTTTATCAGCAAGGAGCGCCCTTTTTTTGCTGAGCGAAGCGAAGCACCCTGTTTGGGATTTTGAATAGCTCATTTGTCCGACCCCCCCCCCCCCTGATACCTTTAGTTTACAAGAGGTATCTTCCTCTGTTTATTTTTACTATATTCATATGCGTATACATAGTCGAAGCTCCATAGTCCAAGCTCTATAGTCCAATCTCCATAGTCCAAACTCTATAGTCCAAGCTCCATAGTCTAAGCTCCATAGTCCATATTCTATAGTCCAAGCTCAATAGTCCAAGCTCCATAGTCGTACGCCAAGCTTCATAGGCCATTTAGTGTGAGAATAAGATCTGTCGCGAGTAGGGTATGATCTTTCGCGAGTAGAGGAAGATCTGTCACGAGCCCGTTAGGTTAGGTTAGGATTGGTTGGACCATTTAGTTTGAGAATAAGATCGGTCGAGAGTAGGGAAAGATCTGTCACGAGTAGAGAAAGATCTGTCACGAGCCCGTTAGGTTAGGATTGGTTGGACCATTTAGTTTGAGAATAAGATCTGTCGAGAGTAGGGTAAGATCTGTCACGAGTAGAGTAAGATCTGTCACGAGCCGGTTAGGTTAGGTTAGGATTGGTTGGATCATTTAGTTTGAGAATAAGATCGGTCGAGAGTAGGGAAAGATCTGTCACGAGTAGAGAAAGATCTGTCACGAGCCCGTTAGGTTAGGTTAGGTTTGGTTGGACCATTTAGTTTGAGAATAAAATCTGTCGAGAGTAGGGTAAGATCTGTCACGAGTAGAGTAAGATCTGTCACGAGCCCGTTAGGTTAGGTTAGGATTGGTTGGAACATTTAGTTTTAGATTATTAAATAGCCTTCCGTCGATTCAAGGCGAAACCAACCATTGCCGAATCACAATCCTTTGCGCAAAAGCATACTTCCTGGCTATCACCCCCCAAAAAGAAAAGAGGCTCATTTTCAAAATAAACACATCCAAATTTACTACTGATGAAAATGCATTTCCATCTCCAGCAGAATCCAGCTCAGCATCGAGGCCGAAGGCCTTCCCCTGGCTAGTAGTTAGTTCACCTGACAGGCTTCTGCCACTGTCCGTTATTGAAGTGAAGTGCCCATACAACCAAAGACAGTCACTGATCAGTCATGAAACTGTTCCCTTTCTTACTTTAAACAATTCTGGTGAACTAGCTTTAAAAGAAGATCATGAATAATATTACCAGATCCAAGGCCACATGTTTGTTGTTTGTTTTTTTAAGTAATATCTATAATGCCAAGTTATTTTTTTGTGACAGTATTTTACATTATTGCTGCAATGTGATTTAATATTTGTAAAGAAGTTGTGCTGACTTTCAAAGCTTGTCATATATTGTGCACGGTGATTTTTACTAGACTGAACTATTAAGCTAAACCCAATGAAACTCTTGTTGTTTACACGTTCAAAGATTTTACAGTATAGATGTTCCCCGTGATGATCACTTTATAACCCAAATGGTTTCAGATATAGAAGACTTTTATGATTGTTACTTAAAAAATTTACTCTTGGAAAAATATTTGTACAACAAGCTAGGGCCCGCCCTTCCGTCGAACCGAGTTGCCAGCTCCGCTTCGCTGCGCCGGCAACTCGGTTCGACAGGGGGCCGGCCCAGCTTGGCCTGCCGGCGGCCTTTCCTCGGGCCTTTGGCCCTCGCATCAGACCCAACTTGGCCAGTCGAAGGCCCGGGCCTTCGGCCCGCTCGCATCACACACCCCGTGAGCGGGTAAAGCACAGTTATCGATGTACCATCGTGACTTAGGCCCGCCCTTCTATTCACAATATGCAATAGTCCTTACACTTTTTACTCCAACTGTCCTTAGAATATGCCCATTTCATTGGTCTCTTCGCCCTCATTCCGAAAATACCCATATTTGCCATGCTACTGCAACTCCTTGCAATAGAGGCACAGCAGGAGCGCAAAACGAGTCCGTCGCACTTTTCCCCATAACTCATGAAGGCGGGCTCCTGGACCCCATTTCCGACCCCTCGTTGAAGAGGCCTTGCCAAGACCTATCCAAAACTTAAGTAAAAATTTTTTAGTCGGTCGACCCCCTTTTTTCAAGATCCTGATGTGACTAATAGACGAAGTCGGGCTCCTGGACCCCCTTTCCGACCCCTCGTCGAAAAGGTCTTGCTGAGACCAATCGAAATCTGCAATAAATTTTTTTAGTCGGTCGACCCCCTTTTTTGAAGATCCTGATCTGGCCAACTCGTAAAAGCGGCCGATGGGGTCGGGACCAGGTCCATTCATCTTGTCTCGTCGCCCCGATTCCAAAAATACCCCTATGTGCCCTGCTAGCACCAATAATGGCGGAAATCCCCCTCCCGCTCATGTAAACCATGATGCACCTGCAGCAGCCCTTGTGCGACCCGGACGGGATTTGCACCACCGGATTATTTGTTTGGACGGTACTCCTGAAGTACCCTCCAAATCTGGTTACTCTAGCTCAACTCCTTCCTTGTACACAGACGCCAACAACAACAACTACAACTACAACAACAACAACAACACACAGACACAAAGGCAAATGCATAGGCCCTCCCCCTATTTTTTGAATAGAAGGGCGGGCCAAAAACTATGGTGCTATAAAGGAGTTGTGCTGACTTCCAAAGCTTGTCATATATTGTGCACGGTGATTTTTACTAGACTGAACTATTCAGCTGAATTTAGGTGTTGCTTTTGTGAAGCTGGAAGATATCTCTATCTTACATGTTAATGTTGAAGTTTGGTCTCATTAATTGATTGATTTGCAAACTAGAAATTACTTTTTAAGTCTTGTTTGCTAATGTTGCTGAATAGTTACCATTTAAATGAAACATGTTTGCGGTTTTTGCGGCATTTGAAAGCCAATTATATTTCGTACATTCTTACAGTCAATTATGCTTTTTTTTGGACACTATACCTTCTCTGAAATTACATAGCATGAAGCAAACAAAAAATATTTTAGAACAAATAGGCACATAAAATCCATTTAGAGGTGTCTGCCGTATTTCATAAGTCTTAAGCAAACCTATCAGCCTTTCTATGTGTACTCTTTTTGAAGAAAGTTTCCTATCTTGGAGCAGAGTGACACCGGGGAGTTGACTTTTTCCTCTCAAAAATGTTGGGATATTTACAGTAACACCACTGGATGCAAATAAATCTTGCACATCAAAGCCCCTATCTGCCATGATACTATCTGACCGCTCACATTTATTTAGTAAACCACTTCTTTCAACTATCTGACGATCACGTGCACTTCCTCCTCCATATCCACTAGAACAATGACAGAGAAGACCAGATGGAGTCGCACCAACCTCAAACTTGCCAGTACACCGGTCCTTGTAGTAACTAAACACTGCTTGTTGAGCTGCAGGGTTCTTAGGCTTATTGATTGGCACCTCTGTGCAGTCCACGATGACTCTAATGTTCTGAAACCTTCTGGCATGAAGAAGTCTACGAGTTCTCTGCTAGGCCAAATTTCTAACAAACCCCACATTTGATGCATAAAATTTCTAAGTCACAAAAACATTTGAGACAGTAACATCAAACACACCAAAGAAACGTGTTAGTTCATAATCATCCATATTCTTTCTAATCTTCATGAGGCTAAGGAGGAACTGGTCTTGCACTGACAAATTTATAACATTATTATACCTGTATTTGATGTGATGTGCTTCTGGACATAATGTATTGAAAACATACAAGAATTTTTCATAACTCTCAAGGCCAGTATAGTAAAGGATTCCAATATCGTCATTCCTAAACGATACATGAGTATAAAACTGATAGTCCTTTTGCGTCGATACACAAGACATGGAAACTTTCTTCATCGAATGATCTTGGTCAACGGTTTCTTCATTAACGGTTTCCGACTCAACAATAATTTCCTCCATAATTTCAGGAACTTCTTCACTTTCTTCCTGTATGACAGGCAAAGCTTCTGACGTGCCATCACTTTTGCTTCAGTCTGTTGGAGACTCAGTGTCTGTAGGTAGAGGTTATGTCAACAAACAATTGGCGTTTCGCAGTCCTTTTTAGAGCTCGTTCTCTTCTTTGGACGGCTTTAGCAATAGTCACTTTGTTGAAGGAAAATATGGAAGGAATTGCATCATTTCTCAGAACAATCCTAGGCACTCCTGTAAACAAACAGAGACCGCCAGAATTTTTGAACTGTCATCCTTTATTAATCAAATTTTTAAAAATTTAAGCGACTTACTGGATGCAACATACCCGAATAAAACCCTTCCTTTTCACAGAAATCGTCAGGTTTAAAATGATCTGGACAAAGTCGAGAATGGCGAGTTGCTCTGAAACCACTTCGCTTGACAGCCACTTCCCACTTTTTCTTCAGCTTTAAATCCTTGGGGAAATAAAACTTTCCACTTCTTTTGCAATCAAATGCACAACATTGAACCATTTTGTGTCAAGAAAATTTAACAAACAATGAGAGGACCCAACTACACTGGTAAAACTAATGCGTAGTATTACCCACTGTTTTCAAGCGTAATCAGTTTACGCTTGAAATCAAGCGTAACAGGCTTATCCGCCAAGATTTCCCCTATCTAAATGCATGGGCGAATTTCTAGCCTATGCTTGATTTCAAGCGTAACGTCTTCAAGCGTAACTTTATGCTTGACTCAAGCATAGAGTTACGCTTTAGTTTTGCCAGTGTACAGGCCAGCAATCAAGCACAAAATTAGCAGACTAAGGGAGAGTGGGGCAATTCCGGACACGGGGTAATTCCGGACACTTTGAATTTCGCGGGGTTGGCGTGATCGCAGCGCCGAGTTTTTCATCACAGATGAAGATTCCCCGCCAAAGATGAGAATTCCAGCACGCTAAGGTGATCGGTCGAGCCGTTTGGCGTCGACAGCAAACTGAATTTCAGGTACCCTCAAAAACAGGTAAAAGCTAGATTTGAATTTCAGATTACCATGTATATTTCGTACTTTCTATCTAGTCATAGACTAAATGTTGACATTACCCATTAACTTATGGTTCTTTGGCTTTGATTTGGCGTTGGGTGAATGGACGTCAGTCTCGTCGATTCATTATAATCCGTATTTTAATGTATTAACTACACTCGGGGTAATTCCGGACACTTTTCAGAGGGGTAATTCCGGACAACATAGTTAGTCTCCTAAAATGTTACTTTTCTGAAACATTTATTAATCTGACTGTTGTTGTTGGTACAGAGAGGTTAGGTTTTCGTTACTTGAACATTTGTTCATCTATCTTTGGTCCTCCTTGCACTCCTTTGTCATCTTTTGACATAATTTTTTTCCATGTTGCAGCTTGACAATGGTACGCACTTACAAAAAAAAGACAGACAGACAGCCCATAAGCCCCAGCAAACTAAAGCAAGCAGTGACACTCGTTGAAGAAGGATGGGCTATCAGAGCTGCAGCCAGACAACCCAGCCAGAAACGGAAAGTCGGAACGATGTCGATTCGCTGTCGACGATTAGTATCGATCATGTGTCGAAAATTTTTATCGATTCGACGGAGAAGTACCTAAGAATTTCGACATCGCCGATCTATCGATAGACGTCGATTCGAGGGGTAATTTTGTTACTGTGGTGGGGGAGGGCAGGGTGTAAGGGTGGTAACATTTGACCAAGTTTGAGGGCTGTGGCTGTGAAGGTGTAAATCTACATAACTGCTGGGACCCTGCACATTAGTAAGAGGATCAGCTGTCTAAAGAAAGTGACTGATGAAAATAAACCATTTATTGTCAAGGGGTATGAAATTTCTTAAGTATTATATGAGTACAAACACGAGAAGACTTAACAGTCAGAACAAGTATAAAGTTATGAAATTTCTTATAAAAGTATTATATGAGTACAAACATGAGTAGACTAAAGAGTAAAAACAAGTATAAAGTTATGAAATTTCTTAAGTATTATATGAGTACAAACACGAGAAGACTAAACAGTCAGAACAAGTATAAAGTTAACTTGAATGAAACTTAAAAATAGGGGTACACCTCTTGAAACAGCCAGAGTCAAAATAGTTTCGCATAAGGATGACTATCTAAAATCTAATTTAAGATGGAGTTAACCGAGTGTTTGTTACAGAGTTAGCATTAATTGCAGGAAAGTAATGTGCCTTGCTAGTTAAGTTTCTTGTGTGGTTTATTTTGTATTATCATTTATCTCTTAAAGAGAGGGGTTGCGTGATTAAATTGATTGTTTTTAACTGCAAGGTTTTTTTTTTAGTAAGATTATTAAGATTATTATATTTTATATGACGAGGTAATATAAAAAAGACCATATAACAAGCTTGCTGTATTAACAAGATCAAACATTTTTTTATCAAGAAACAAGACACGAGAACTAGCAAGGCACATTACTTTCCTGTAATTAATGCTAACTCTGTAACTAACAGCAATGTTTTTCGCCATTTGCCACCTATGGGAATAAAACTAAAAATTAAGAGATCTTAGTGAAGAAATTTTGGTTAAGACACAACTCAAGTAAATCTAAATTGGCCACAAGAAACTTTAACATAGGGTGGCAGAAAGATCACATCAACATCAACCTTGAATGACTAGCAGGGCGGGCACACATTACACTTCTGCAATTCTAATTAATTCTGTATCTCGTAAACATCTAGAGATAGATAGACACGAGACGACTAAACAGTCAGAACAAGTATAAAGTTAACTTGAATGAAACTCCAGCCGTTTCAAGATACAGAATTTACATGAATTGCAGAAGTACTTTATCTGCACACCCTGTTGACTAGGCTCACATAAAGAAGACAGAACTAAGTGAAGAAATCACAGTGAAACCTATGCAGGTGAATTTACATTGCAAAAATATTAGTTGTGGACGGGTTTCATTGGATAGTTACAAAACTCAAGTGCAAATACAAAATCAAAACTAAATACAATACCTTTCACTTAGGGTTGCAGGGAGATCACAAAACAATTAGTCATATGGGTCATTCTACAGAAATGTTACAATTTGATGTCCCTGCCCCTTTGTGACGAAACGGTTCGTCCTAGAAAGACGCGGTTTGCGCGGTGAGATGGTGCTTTTTGTGCTTCAAAATGATCCACTATTGAGTTTGAAAGTTTCTGAGGTTTTCAGATGGCTGTGGCCTCCGGAAGGTGCAAAATGTAAACTCCGTGGCTGTCCCGATGCGTAGTTCACTAAGTTTGCGCCTCTCGTATGTCTAGGGTCAGGGCGGGGAAGAACTGGACAGGGGAAGAACTGGACACCCCATATTTTACTTCAAATACCGTAGGCACAGGAGTAACAACTATCAAAAGTTGTTCCGTGGCATCAGCGGTTTATTACACGACAGTTGTCAGGCCAGTACATACGGCATTTGAAGTAAAATATGGGGTGTCCAGTTCTTCCCCTGTCCAGTTTTTCCCCGCCCTGACCCTAAACGAGACGCAGGACAATCATTCCCGACGGCTCTATTTGCTAAGGCACTTTTATACTTTAACTTAATCCCACTGACTTTAGTAAAAAGTTTGAAGCTTTGTGCCTGCACAGAATTAACTTTTGTCCCGAAGTTTTTACTTCCCTAAAATCCACATGCACGGTTAGCGCGACTCCTTGAAAAACAAGGACGGTTTTTGAAAAACAAGGAAAGATGGAACACTTCAAGGAAGTTCCTTGGAAGTGTGCTCCCATTCCAAGGAGGCTCCCTTGTTTTCCAAGGCCAGTCCCTTGTTTTCTTGGACTCCAGACAAATTCCAAGGACCCGCCTTGTTTTTGGGGTGCACTTCCAAGGGGACGCCTTGGTTGGTCTCTGCCGATTCAAGGAACCGCCTTGTTTGTCCGCAAAAGCTCGAGTTACGTCGTCGGCCACGTCATGAGGTCCCCGATGACGTCCCCCTGGGGTTCACCATGACGACCCCCATGTTTCTCCGTGCCGTTGAGGCTGCCGGGTCTCACAGTGGCCAACGCCGAAAACCGTTTTCTTCTACGTCCAGTACTTTCGGAGATACGAGGACGTACCACGAGGCCGCCGTCCAGGCGGAGGAGGAAGTGGTGATTTTTTCGAGGCCAAAGTAGCTCTGGCCACGAGCCTACTTGGTGTCCGGGACTTTTGACTTCGGAATCGGGTTAGAGGGGTGCCGGCCCACCTCGAAACCAAATTTGGTCAAGTTGCGGCCAGCCGTTTGTCCAGGATGGCGTCAAACAGCTCGATTTGTGGACTTATTTTGCTGATTGGATGATGTTTGTCGCCATCCTGGACAAACGGCTGGCCGGAACTTGACCAAATTTGGTTTTGAGGTGGGCCGGCACCCCCCTAAACCAATTCCGAAGTCGAAAGTCCCGGACACCAAGTAGGCTCGTGGCCAGAGCTACTTTGGCCTCGAAAAAATCACCACTTCCTCCTCCGCCTGGACGGCGGCCTCGTGGTACGTCCTCGTATCTCCGAAAGTACTGGACGTAGAAGAAAACGGTTTTCGGCGTTGGCCACTGTGAGACCCGGCAGCCTCAACGGCACGGAGAAACATGGGGGTCGTCATGGTGAACCCCAGGGGGACGTCATCGGGGACCTCATGACGTGGCCGACGACGTAACTCGAGCTTTTGCGGACAAACAAGGCGGTTCCTTGAATCGGCAGAGACCAACCAAGGCGTCCCCTTGGAAGTGCACCCCAAAAACAAGGCGGGTCCTTGGAATTTGTCTGGAGTCCAAGAAAACAAGGGACTGGCCTTGGAAAACAAGGGAGCCTCCTTGGAATGGGAGCACACTTCCAAGGAACTTCCTTGAAGTGTTCCATCTTTCCTTGTTTTTCAAAAACCGTCCTTGTTTTTCAAGGAGTCGCGCTAACCGTGTGTGCACTGTAACGAGTTTGGCACTACAGGAGACAAACGGGAAGTCACAGCCTCAATCTGAAGACTGCAATGGATTCCGGATGAAAAAACACATCTAGCCACCAAGTTTGAAGGATCACTGGCAAAACTAAAGCGTAACTCTATGCTTGAGTCAAGCATAAAGTTACGCTTGAAGACGTTACGCTTGAAATCAAGCATAGGCTAGAAATTCCCCCATGCATTTAGATAGGGGAAATCTTGGCGGATAAGCCTGTTACGCTTGATTTCAAGCGTAAACTGATTACGCTTGAAAACAGTGGGTAATACTACGCATTAGTTTTACCAGTGATGTGAGTCCAATGGCTAGCATCTAATTGGTACCCAATTTTCAAAAAGGGGGTCGCGTATTTTTTTTGTATGTATAACTCCGTACCCGATTTGCCACGGATCCCCTGTGCGTCAAACTTTCGAATTGTGGATAAAAACAATGCTTTGGTGGTCCTTTAGTCAGCTGTGTATGCGCGTTCTACTGTTCCAACTCATACGGCTGCAATCCAGGTATCTGCTTCAAAATGTAAACTCCGTAGGCGTCAATTTATGTAAACTCCGTAGACATTTCCCCTATGATTTCAGTGGAGAAAATTTTTTTTCTCGAAAAGTGTGACGCTTGATATCGTTTCGCATTCTGCATGCCGAAACAAGAAAAACAAGCCCAATATGAATGAAATCAGACAACTTTTACTTTTTCACGGTTCTAACTGCGAAATTGTAACATTTCTGTAGAATGACCCATATCACTAAGCTCCTGAAGCAGGATTAGGTTAACGCCATTTGGCATCTTACAACCACTTTTGGAGTGCGTCATCTGCTATGGATAAGTCACTATCGCTCACATAAAGAAGAGCGAACTAAGAGAAGAAATTACAGTGAAACCCATACACATATCAGAAATTTGTTAAGAACGGATTCGTTGCACGCGAGTGAATTTACATTGCAAAAATATTAGTTGTGGATGGGTTTCACTGTATAGTTACGAAACTCAAGTGCTAATACAAAAACAAGAAACTAAAACTAACAACAATGATAATCACTTAGGGTTGCAGAGAGATCACAAAACAATTAGTCATATCACTAAGCTCCTGAAGCAGGAGTAGGTTTACGCCATTTGGCATCTTTCAACCACTTTTGGAGTGAGTCATCTGCAATAGATAAGTCACTATCCGGAAACGCTGTCTGCAGAGTTCCTGTAAAATGAACAATCAAATGAGTAATACATCAACCAGTAAATGCTAATAATTGGATGTAATGTTAATTATTGTACCTTGGAAAACTTTGTATAGATGCAACTTCCTGAACGACATTTTATTAGATGTGCCTCTGCCTCTCCCATCCAGGTTAAATTTACTTGCTAGGCTGTTAGTCATGAGTTTGGTCAACACGGCAGCTGCACTTTTCCTTTCAGGGTCAGGAACATTGCTCCGTATGCAGTTGCCCATATAATCAACCTATACAAGACCAAGAGAGGAATCAGAAGAAATCAACATACCCTAAAGTATAAAAATCCAATATCATAATACTTACAGCAGTTGCTAGGTGTAAATCCTTCTGTTTCAAGAAATCTTCAAAGCGTTTCAGATCTTCCACAGTTTCTAGAGGAATTTTAGGCATATTCTTGGGAATGGTCATCATTCGCTTGTCACCTGGGGCAATCTGCCTAGATATGCGTGCCAGATTCATCATGACAATATCAAGTTTGGAAGAAATCTCTGATAAAGTAACAGCATTCCTTGCTTGAAGAACTTCTGCCTTTGACACACTGTTGCCTGAAAAAGAAAAAATTCCAATGCTAATCGCATTGCACGGTGTTCCCGTTTCCATAACTGGTTGAAAATCGAGGAAAACATGACAAGACAACCGCAGCCTTTGAGAGCATGCCAAACAATCCAACCTCAGCAACAATGGAGGGGCAGTTTCAATGGGCGCCTGTTCGTTCTTTCAGCCTCGCGATTTTCGAAAGGGCGCAAACGGGAAGCATATTGGTGCCAACCCACGAAAATTAATTTGATGCGTCGTTTCTGCTACGAACTTTTTAGTAGTGACAGACTTTAAAGATGTTCCAACGTTGAGACACCGTGCAATGTGTTAGCATTAGCATTTTCAAATTTCACGGCGTTTAGGTTTTTTTAATGGGCGACTTTAAATTTTGACGGGTGGTACGATGGGACCATGCCGTTGCCATGGAGATTTTTTTTCATGTTTTGACCATTTGCTCAGAACATATACGATTTCTTGTTACTTTGATGAGCCAGGAGGTTTAGTTTTGAGGAGTGGCACATTTTTTATTTGAACCATTTTTTCATATCATTAACGGTTCTCGTTTTCGATTGTTGCAAATTTATGTTTTTCGCGTTTACGGAAAATTTCCACGATGAATTTTCGAAAAAAATTGGAATTTTCGTTTTTTTCATGGTTGAAATAGTTTAGAGTTGTTTATTTGAAAATCGGAGAGGGGGGGGGAAAGAATCCACGGACCTCGGACAATAGGGGTTCTTGGGAACCCCTAAAAATAGAACAATCAGGCAAATGCATTACAAAAGGCTTTGAACTTTGACTGTTTAGAACTAAAAAATGATATTAACCTGAATTCTTTGCACCCTTACTGACAGAAGCTGTGGGGCGAGTAGTGTTGCCAGTTACAGCCTTAGATGGCTGACGTCCCGAAGCTGAAGTAGTTGCAACAGCCTTTGAGTGCTGACCCGTGGAAGCTGACTTATCTGATAAAACAGACACTAAGAAAACAAAGAAACGTTATAAATTTTGCTAGTAGACTATCATTTTGAAGTGGCTATGGTTGCTAACCTTCATTATCTTCTGATTCAAAGAGGACCCTGCAGCTAGGATCCGAGCTGGTTGTTGCTTTGTCAGCCTCCTCCCACTTCTTGTGAGGGGGAGTGTAATAGAACGACTTCAGGCGCGTTAGTTCAGTTTCAGCTGGAGTAACATTGTTTGATGAAGGAGTCACAACAGGTGTCTTCTGGAAAAAGAAGCAATACATAGGAAGCTTGTGAAAAATGACAATTGCTTCATGCACCGACATCACCAATCCCAAGGTTGACTTACAGGACTGACAGAGGTAGGGGTGCCCATTTGCACTTCAACCACATCCAAAGGGTCAGGGGAATCAAGAGCAGACAAATCCTGCAAAGAAATACAAAACTATAAAATAAAGTTGTGCGCTTCAATGCAAGAAACATAATTTTCTACACTAACCTTGGGACTTTCGTTCTTCTGAGGAGTGTCTGTGACTTTCCATGGAGAATTCAATTTCGATGAAGAGTTACTCCCCATCTTTGCAGCGGGAGCTTCCTTCGCAGCTCTGATCCGTTGCATCAACTCTAAGGCCTCCTTGCGTTTGACATCTTTCGCAGATTCTGGACGACCCTTGACTACTTTCTTACCACCTTGGGCAGAGTTACGAGGCTTTGCTGCTTTGTTAGCTACAGGTGGGGGTGATGGGATGGACTTGACCCTCTTCCTGACCACAACCTCCTCTTCACTGTCAGATGACACAAGAAACAAGGGCCTGTAACGAACTCTTTTGCCACGGCCTCTGGTGGCTTCTTGATCCGTTTCATAGTTTGAATCAACTACAAACTTTGAAACAGCTGATCTTGCTTGAGCGTAGGTTTCTATAACACACAAATTAAAACAAAGATTAAATAAGATAAAGCCAAGCAAAGTTAAGTTAAAAAAAATTAATAAACACAATTATTAGCTTACCATAAAACCTCATGACAATGATGCGGAACTTTTTCCAGTTTGTGTCTGGTTTATGCTGCATCTTAATTAAATTGGAAACACTAGCAGTGTCTGGGGGCCAATAGGTTTCCCCTTCCATATCATCATTGAGAGAGCCAACAATCCAGGACGTCAGGCACACTTCAAAATATGTGTCCTCATCCTCACCAGGTGGAAATTTGACCACTGCAAACTGAAATAGCAAACAAGGCGTTAAATAGGGCTCTAAAATGCCTTCTGTGCCCATCACATAGAGCCATAGGAGTGGAGGATGGGCACACATAAAAAATTTGGCCCATCTGGCATCAAATAGTGTCATCGACTTTACTAGGAGGAGCAGATTCTCACAAATCTTGGGCGGAGTAAGGCGGGGTTCTTCTTCTGCGTTGATTCCCCCTCTTGAAGCCGGTTGACAAAATAAAAACAAAGGGGTACAGTGAGTGGAATAAAAAGAAAGAAATGTGCAGTATGGGGTTATAATTCACAAATAAAGAAACTGTTATAGACACAGGTGCAGAACTGGTGCGTTGAACAATATAAGACAAACAGTAAATAAACTATTTATAGGATTTTTGAAGATAAACAGACACTAAGTATAAATCTCAGAATTGTTAAACTTTATAGAACTTTTGCAATTAAATTAATTACAGAGATTATTTAGAAATAGTTTAGAACTATGCAAGTGTCAAGGAAACATTGTACCAAACATACAATCCAAACAACTATTTTGAAATAAAATGATTTGAATCACAAAAGGTCAATAGTGTTATTTATGAAACCAAAGAATTTTTAAAAACCAAAATATAGTAATGACTAGAGTAGTTTAAGAACTAAGTATTCACGAGGAATTTAATTTAATACTATTATTGGATTTAGTTGCAAGAATAGACCAAGCAAATAATAACGGTACACTAGCAAAAAACTTTACTCGAGTAAACAAGATTAGCGGAAACAGAGAAAATCAGCAGGTAAATAAAGTCAACACATTTTCCTAGGAACTACATGCAAAAATCAAACACTTTATAGAAAGATTAACAACAAGCACACTGACAGTAGAACACAAGAACTGCACCAAACAAAATCATAATATGAAAACCAGTTAGACTATTTAAATGAAAACAATACCCAACACTAAGAATTGATTTGATAATATTTACTTTGTAAAGGGGCGTCCCCCAGAATACAGCAAGAAACTATGCAACAAGATTTAAGTACTCAAGTGTTCAAGGAAATAATAATTTAAGTTAGCAGACAAACGCGCAACTAGATAAACAAAACCCTAGCATCATAAACCGATGCAAAATAAACAAGGAGGACTCCAGCAGACGACGCTACCGCAGCGCCACCAGTGAGCCATCTCCGCCTGACTACCGGAAGCCGTCAGTCCGCAGCTGAGGAGCTGAGCGAACGTCAGTCAGCCAGCCGGCACCACGCGAGGCACAGCCCGTGTCTGACGCTCCCGCAACGCAGAGTCCACGCGTTCGCTCCGGGTTTCCGCGTTTGCTCAAGTTAATGGAGTTGGTGTCGTGCTTCGCCTCATCTACCTGCTGACTATCGTCGTGCCATCATGCGTGCAAACCCGCTCTCGTCGCCCGCAAGGTTTGTTTCCACCCAGAAGCCTCGGAATGGCTCCAATCGACTCCAACAGCAATTAGTAACCCATAAACAAGGGCTTGCAATAACACAACACTATAATTAAATAGATAATGACTGGAACACTTTTACAGAGTACTAATAAATTTAGAAATAAAGATGTGATACACTATCAAATTTACTGAGCGCAGACAAACACTTTCAAAGTCCTACAACAAGTAGATACTACAGAAACAAGAGACAGTGTACCACCACCTGGGCCCAGGAAAGATAGAGAATAGAATGGAGTGCACTCACCAAAATAAATATTACTCACACAGCGACTGAGCAATACTGTAGTAACATAGGCTTGAGGGGCGCCTCCTCAAACCACACACACAACTTATTTACAATAAAATTTCACTACACATGGCGTCAATACGTCCATGGCAAAGGAAAAATGATCACATTTCACTTCACAAAGCGGCGAACCGCATCACTTCACTATGTCACTTCACAGCTGATGGGAGTGACGTCACGCCAAGCCTGGTGGCGTAGCGGAGGTGGGGGACAGATGGCAGGCCCACACGTGAAGTACATCTTGGAGAACGTGACGGTCATGGCGAGGATGGTGATGATGGGTGGCAGCAACATGGACTCGGAGGCAAGGCGACGGCGTGAACTTAGCCCATCATGTCGGCAGGCAGACGCCGCGGACTAGAAGCCCTGTGAGAAGATGACGTCACGGTCAAATCGACTGCCAAACAACACCAAACCATTCCGAGGCTTCTGGGTGGAAACAAACCTTGCGGGCGACGAGAGCGGGTTTGCACGCATGATGGCACGACGATAGTCAGCAGGTAGATGAGGCGAAGCACGACACCAACTCCATTAACTTGAGCAAACGCGGAAACCCGGAGCGAACGCGTGGACTCTGCGTTGCGGGAGCGTCAGACACGGGCTGTGCCTCGCGTGGTGCCGGCTGGCTGACTGACGTTCGCTCAGCTCCTCAGCTGCGGACTGACGGCTTCCGGTAGTCAGGCGGAGATGGCTCACTGGTGGCGCTGCGGTAGCGTCGTCTGCTGGACCTACACTGCAGAATCGCCGAGATGGCCCGGCGGCGGCGATGCGGCGCGCACGGGAGGTTTGATGGGTTGCCTAACGCCACGGGGTTGGCGCGTTGCGACGCGACAATAGCACTTGCACATGACATCTCTCAATCTGAACACAATTCTCTCCCTGCTTAGGTGTGAAACTTTGAAAATGCCAAGCTGTGATGAAGGAACAGGGTAATTATAGAAGTCTTCCTTATTCTGAAACCTGCAACCAACAAGATACAACTTCCGATTCCTGCAAATCATATTCTGGAGAACAAAAAAGTCACCATTGTGAGTCTTCACACAACCATTGGCCTTTCCAATCCGCAGTGTCAAACTACCAGTCTTCAACTTGCGGTACTGGTGCCCTTCCATAACTTCATTTAAAACTCTATGCTTCAGTGACAGTGAAACATGAGTTGGCTTCTTAGAGAGTGTCACATTACTCTTCTGCTTCTCTTTATCTCGACGAGCCAGCTCCTGGAGAGGATGAAGACCACAACGGATATGCTCCTTGATTGACTTCAGACCGAGGGGGAAACGACTTCGGTTATCCGATGTACAGCAAATTGGTTATCCGCTATCCGGATAACCAGAAATTTCGAAGTAATCCGGGGAAATTCTGAGGTAATCCGGGGTAATCCTGGGAAATTCTGAGGTTATCCGGGGTAATACGGCGCAATCCAATGGTAATCCTAGAAATTTTTCGATGTTATCCGGAGGTAATCCGCGGGTTATCCGGGGTTATCCCTATCCGATGTACACAAAATTTCTCAGTCGTTTCCCCCTCGCTTCAGACCATTTTCAAATTTGAAAGCAGCAATATCGTCTAATGTAAAACCCTCATCACACTCTTCAATCAAATGATAAAGGGAATGCACATTGTACACAACAAAACTTTGACCATAAATCTGTGCAGCATGGGAGATGAATGTCCTCACCAACTCATTGGCAAGGTCACGATTGGCTTGAAACAGGGTTTTACTGCTCATGATGTAAACAGCACAATGGAAGAGTAGAAAATGTTTGTAGACATTGTCCTCCAGAAGGTCTTTGAAGGCAAGAATACCATCATACAAAACAATTCGTCTTAGTTCAGTGCACTTGAAAGAATTGAAGAATTTCAATGACCTGGGCTTTCTATTGAAGTCAGAAGGACAATAAGGTTTAAGGAAGACAAACACAGAGGATATAATCTCCACCAGGTCATAGGGCAACTTCCAAACACCAACAGTATACAGCCAATATTCCATGAGCCTTTTAGCCACTCCAGCATAAACAAGGTGCATCGGATCCAGTCGAAATTGAGATACCGTGCCAGTCCCCAAATCTTCCAATGGTGAACGGCCCTTATGATGCCTTGGCTGCCTTCTATCATTAAAAGATTGATCACTTCGTAAGGGTGCATCCAAGTCCAGAAATACCATTCTGTTATCAAGAAATTCACCACACCCAGAAAAATGTTTTCTTGAATCAAGTAAAATTGCATTGAATCAAGTAAATTTTTGCATCGAAAAGCCGGAGTAAATTTTGCATTGAGCGGAGTAAAAATATTCTTGATGTAGCTAGTATTGAATGTATCCAAAGCTTGTCTTAAATTTAGCGTTTATGTATTGATCTGTCACACAGTTGAACTCGAATCAACGCAAATATTAAGTTTGATGGTCCTTACAAATTACTTGACTATAATCGTCTGTCATTTTCTTAAATTGTGGTTTTGTTCTTGCTCTTCTTAATCCAAGAAAGTTTTCTTGAGCGCCTCTTAGAAAATATTTACTAGAATCGATGTGACGAAACAAATCTAAAGTTGTATTTCCCCAAGAATACTCAGTCCTCAACCTGTGCCATACACAGGGGCGGATCCAGGAAAACAAGCAAAGTCACGCATTTTGCCTACTTACAGGCGTTGCAGCGGGTAGGCAGGCATGACTAACTTCTCACAATACCAATGGTAGATCACGAAATACTTATGCTTCTTTTTCAGAAGTTAGAAAATGTGCAGCGCACCCTGCTACCAAGGTACTGATTGCCTTCAATTTGTAGTGATTCACTTATTTTTTTAAAATGTGGAGGTAAGGTGTTATGGATTGAAATTGTAATAAAAGTAAAAATAAATTCATGAGGAAAACAATTTTTTAATCACGATTGAGCAATGGTTGCTGTCAATTTTAACACATGACAAGACACATGAAAATAAATTACAATGTTGATTTTATGGACACCAACTTTTTCCCATCATCAGCTGCAGTTCTCTGCCACAAAGGAATGTATGAGAAAAAATTATCTTGCGATAAATACAAAAATTCATTCAAATCCTCCACCTCATAAGCACAAAAGTGGCGTCTATAATCAAGAGTTGTTTTCTTTCGAAGTACAAAATTAATACTATCATTTCCAGCAATAATGTGCACAATACTCCCGAACATAGGGAACAAGCCATCTGTACCAACAACAATTACCATTCCTACTTGATAATTTGTACCACATATGTCAACACTTGAAACAGAGTGAACATTGTCATAAT